ATAAAATAAAGAAATTGACAGGCTCATTCTAAAATTTATAAATAACTATATGTCATATATAAATAACTATATCAGGATGTTCCCCCAAAGCCTCATGCAGTCATGGGGCAGGCTTCTGGAGTTTATGATTTATCCAGTGCTGGGATTATGGGTGTGAAAGCCACACCCACCCTGGGGTGGATAGTTTGCGTATGTAAGGGAGAGGAAGAAGCCACTTGCCTCTACTCTTCCTTTTGCTCTTATTGTCTTTGCTGTGTTCTGCTGCCGTGAACTGTTGCCCTCTGCCATGTGCCACGCTGCCTTGGAGCCAGCCGAATATGGACTGAAACTTCCACAAACTGTGAGCTAAATAAACCTTTCCTTCCTTAATTTTGGGCTTAATTTTGTCTCAGCAATGACAGAAAAGTAACTAAGACACTATAAAAGACCTGGAAATGGCCAAACCATTCTAAAGAAGAAGATAGTAGGCTCAAGCTGCCAGAATTCAAGTCTTTTTGGGAAGCTAGAGAAATTAAAACAATATGTTATTGGCTTAAAGATAGACATATAGATCAAAGAATGAGCTTAGAGGCTAGAAATTAATTGTCTTGTTGTTGGATTTTTTTGAGGCAGAGTCTCACCACTTATCCCAGGCTGGCCTTCAACTCTCTTTTTTTTTTCGGTCTTTTTGAGATAGGGTCTCACTAGGCAGTTCAGGCGGGCCTTGAGCTCACTTATGTAGCCCAGGCTGTCCTTGAACTTGCAATGATCCTCCTACCTCAGCCTCCCTGGGATTACAGACGTGTGCCACCACGCCCAACTTGCATGTTTCAAAAGACATTGTTAGCAAACTGAAAAGCCACAAACTGAGAGAAAATATTTATACTTTTATCTCTGATAGGAGGCCTAGACCAGAGAGCATTCTCACAACTCAGAAATAAGAAGACAACTGGATGAAAACATTAGACAAAACCCTTCAAGCAAGAAGAGGTGTGCAGGGCACATAAATACGTGAAAAAATACTTCCTTTGTCATCAGGGGCAGGATAAGCAGAGCGGCAAGGAAGTGAGACCACAGGGTTGCCAGGGCCAAGGCCAGAACCCCGACCCTGCGCTGCTGAGGGGGTGGGCATCCCCCAACACACAGGCCATGGCAGCACACAGCAGTGGATGCAGTGGTTATCTTCTGACCGGTGGGACCTGGACTTCCTGCCACAGTTGGCCCCCAGCCCCGTGCCTTAAAGCCAGTGGCCAGGCCTGCCCCTCTTTCCCTTGTGCTTGTCTCAGCTCTCTGCACTCCCAGTGTCCCCCATGTTCTCTCGTCATCACCTGTCTCCACAGTCTCAGCACCAGGACACCAGGTCCTTGTCTGGTCCCTGAGTGACTCTCAGGAGCCAGAGGCCAGTACGGCAGGTGTTCAGCGCATCGCGTGACATGAGTGAACGTCTTGCCCCATCATCAAATGTCCCTTTGCAGTGTGGTCTTGGGGGCATCATCCCTAGATGCGGTGTCTGTAACTGTGGAGGGAGACGCAGCCCCTTCCTGCAGCTGTAACAGAATACCCGGGCCAGGACTTAAAAGAGAGCTTTATGTAGCCAACCAGTTTGGAGGCTGAAAGCCCAAAAGAGCGATCAGAGGTAACACCAAGAGAGGGCTGCGGGAAGGGCTGACGCCAGGCAGGGGAGGGGCACCACTGGGCTCCTCAGGCCTGGCCCTCCCCCCCAGGTCTGACTTTCCTGCGTCCTCAAGGCCCCGACCTTTTCTGCTGGGCTGCCTAGGTCATCACTAACCACCCAGAGAGCCTCGGCCAGGCCCCCAAGGTGGGCAACGAGTCCCATGTCAGCCATCCTCCCTGGGTAACCCCAGCAGGCGTGGGGTGTCCCATCTCAGGAGCCCAGGTTTGGCAGGAGCAGTGAGACAGGTGGAGCAGGTGCCGGTTGCAGGTGCTCTCAGGCCACTCCATGGGGCTCTGTCCATCCCCAGGTTGATATTCAGGCCTGATATCCAGCTAGTCCCCACCCTGCTGGCCTGAAGGGCCCAGTGACAACTTCTCTACTCCCCTGCCCCACACTCTGTCCCAGGGCCCGAGGCACTGGGTATCTGTGTGGGCCTGGCTTGCTGGCATCTGATTGGTGGAGCTGTTGCACAAAAGGTAAAGTCTGGGTGACCCCAAGGCCAAGTGGTACAGATTCCATGGCAGAGGACACAGATGGCTTTCCAGTGACTCAGAGATGGGGTGCCCCAGGCTCGGCCCAACTCAGGTGGGGCCGGTACCTTGTGGGAAGAGTCCCAGGAGTCAAGTGACCACTCTACAGTTGGATGGAGGCCAGTGTGGTGCATGGGGAAGGCACACGGCCCTGCTTGCCTTTCCATCCCTCCTGTCATTGCACAGATATTGGTATAAGAAGGGGACAAAGGAGCACAGTCCAGGCCCCAGGGAGTGGTCATGGGGCAGCGTGAGTGTGGGGCTGTGACAGGACTGTCCACTTGAAATGCTCGTGGGTTTTATGTACATGTTACCCTGATTGGAAACTGTTACCAGGGCGGCTCACTCCCAGGCTCGTAGTTCCCCGGAAGGAGGGCTTCCGGCGCACAGGGAGCCACGGGCGGGGAGCGCCGGTCTTCTGGCTGGCTAGCTTCCTGCCTCGTAGGCTCCCGGAGGGAGGGTCCCGGGCACACGGGGAGCC